GGGGGGGGAGGCTGCAAGGCTGGCGGCGGCTCCGTGGGCCATCAGTCGAGGTCTGGCGGGCCAGATTTGGCCCGCGGGCCTTGTTTTTGACACCTGTGAATTAAGAGAAAGACAAAGATATACTAGTGATAAAGCTGTCTGGCTTCAGAGTCATTTAGGACCCATTTCAGATAATCTCTTCCCCTCCTCTAGGCAAAAAGATCGAAGTTGTTTGTGTGCTTCTGCTGAATACACAACTTCATACTCCATGCAGTGCGTGACTTTTGTTGTTTGGTGCCATCATGTTGATTTATGGCCATATTCTGGATTAGTTATTGGGATTTTGCCTGTTTGTGAGGGAGCCCTGTTAGGGGATCCCTTTCCGTCAGCTGAGTCAGTTTGCTACAGTGGGCGATTCTGGTGGGCATTTAAGCCCTCTTTGTTTCTCTCTTCTCTGGAGCCACAAACCAGGCAGCGCTTGAGCATGAAGTAAAAACGGTTAATAATACTGATTTTGAAAACACACAAACAGGAAAACCTAATTGCTAAATCTCAACAGCTGACCATGTGCTGGGTTGGAATACATGGTTCGAGATGGGCATCACCCGCTTAGTGCTCAAGAGGGAGAGGTTATCGGGTGGAAAGGAAAGGTAAGAGTGAGGAGACAGGATGCGGCTGATCCTTTCTTTTCTTTGGGAGAATGGGAGAGAAACAGTCAATGGGAAGGACAGACACAATCTTCACTGTTCCACAAATGGCCACATGAATTGTTTGTGACAGGCAGATGGAACGAAGCGTTGCTTCCAGATGAATCTGGCACCACAAGGTGTTTTGCCAAGGAAGGATGCCCTGAAGAATTTAGGCCTGCCTGAATGGGTGTATACATTGGTATTTGGATAGCTGATAGTTTGGTTTGGGTGACACCAAATTGCATTGTCCACACGTGTTTCTACAGTACTTTGATCAACCCATCCTGTCCCTAGAAGAGCTGTGCCACACAATTTTCTGGTAGAGGACTAAGAGCTCCTGGCTTTGGGTGGTGGAGGTTTTGCACGATTAGTCCTGCTGCTAATTCTCCTGTTGTGAAGCCTGTGTGGATCGTTTCTTTGCAGCCCTATGGAGTTGTGGGCAGTGTTATCAGAGGCGACAAGCTTGTAACATATTAGGCAATTTTTGGTAGTAAAAGAGAGGTTTGAGAACCCCCTCTCTGTTTTTATCTTTTTAAAATATATTGCCCTAACTCACACAGCAGAATTCGAACGCCATGCTAGCTTGATGCATTGCTCTTTCAACATGCCACTTATTTTATTTAATGACAAAAAAGCCACGTTGTCTAGCTAAATTGCAGCTGTATTTCAACATTTTCAATCAGTTTTGGAGCTGGTATAAACCAAAGAATGGTGCAGAGAGTATACACAAGGTCCATATGTGTTTCATATTCTGTCTAATGTATTTTAACATGCATAATGTGCTCAGTAGAAATGTATTTATTTATGTAAAGTTGAGAGTCCCAAGTCAGGTTTATATTTTTTTTCAAAAGAAAATGTAAATGATTCAATATCTAACACGTGGTTTTGTATTATGCTTAGCTCCTGAAGAAGGCTTCCCCGAAACGCATTGAGCCAGAGCTTTTTAACTACCCATTTAAAAAATAGTGAACAAACAACTCGATTCTATTTTCTACATCCTGAGACTTCATCTCTCATTTATAATCAAGTTAAAGGAAGCCAGATTTCGGCTGAATATCAGGAAAAACCTCCTGTTAGAGCAGTACGCCAGTGGAACCAGTGACCTCGGGAGTTAGTGAGTGCTCCAACACTGTAGGCATTCAAGAAAAACTTAGATAATCACCTGGCAGATACGCTTTGATTGTATTCCTGCATTGCGCAGGGGGTTGGACTTGATGGCCTTGTAGGTCCCTTCCAAATTCATTTTTCTGATTTTGAAAAGTTGAAAGCAATGTAATAGGTAGTCCACTAGATGGCACTATAGGGCCACAGTGGTTGAGTATTCTCTGTTAGTTTCCTTTGTTGACCAGTTGAAATTGATCCTGAAATTGACCGAAATATTGGGCTTGCAGGACGCTACCTGTGCAGGTAACTTGAAAAACCATCTACCCATAAACCCATCTGCTTCAGCTGCAAGATTTAAACTATGAGCACAAGTCTCAGTCTAGACATATGAAGTGTATGTAGAATTACATAGAAAATGGACTTTACTATATAACTAAATCACTGTGTTAGTGAACTGATCGATTTGCCAGCTGGGGGAAGGAAAGAAGCTAGAAACGATATAAGGAAAATAGTCTTTAGCGAGTAGAGGAGATGAACACCCTCAAGATGGAGAGATACTGCTCTGCTAAGGGCCAGAATATAAAATATTTTTTGGAGAACGTGAATAAGATGTGATAACCATCTTGAAATCTAGAAACCAGGAAACTAAAATAGATGTGGTTTCAGTGCTGTGTTTTTTAAAGACTTCATCACTACAATTTTCCAAATGTTTGTTAATTCTGGATTACGTCTTTCACACTTAATTTTTAAATAATTACTAGATGGAAGTGTTATTGCATATAATTATTGAAGGACAGTGTAACGTTTACCACGTGGCCCCTGCTTGTTTCACCAAACAAAGAGCTCACGCTATCTCATCCCACCAGCTGACCACCAATTGTGACTTTCACCCTTATGATGCATCTATGCGTTGTGCCCTCACAAAAGGTTAAGTCTTCTCTTTTCCCTCACTGCCACCAGTGGAATTCCTTTATCCACAATATAAAAGACTTTAGACAAACACTTGTCTGATAACTGCCAAAAGAACTTATTTATTGAAGTGTAGCCAAAGTTATAAATAATCAAATATGTTCTTCAGTTGTTCGTTGTATACAATCAAATCATTAAAATATCATATATCTCACCATATACTCAATTACTACCAGCTCTATTTATATTAACCGACTTATCTCTATTAGTATCCGTTCCTTCTCTCTCTTCACTGACTAATTCTCTGACTCCTATCTCTCTTCTATTGTTCCCTGCCAAAGCTTTATATATCCACTGACCCCGCCCCTCAAATCCTCTCATTAGACATCCTTCAGTCTGGAAAGACTACGGTAGCGTGCTCTGTATGGAGGACTTGGAACAGCGTCTAGTGTGGCTGAGGAGGCCAATTCGAGAGTGACAATCCCTTCCACACTGAAGACAAATCCAATCCAGTCCAGCCTTGGACTGGATAGGTTTGTTCTCCTTGCAGTCCAGGGGACTCTCAAGAGTCTCCTCCAGCACCACAATTCAAATGCATCAATTCTTCGGCAGTCAGCTTTCTTTATGGTCCAGCTCTCATTTCCGCACATCACTACAGGAAAAACCATAGCTTTGACTATTTGGACTTTTGTTGGCAAGGTGATGTCTCTTCTTTTTAAGATGCTGTCGAGGTTTGTTATCACTTTCCTCCCAAGAAGCAGGCGTCTTTTAATTTCGCAGCTGCTGTCCCCATCTGCAGTGATCATGGAGCCCAAGAAAGTAAAATCTGTCACTGCCTCCATATCTTCCCCTTCTATTTGCCAGGAGATGATGGGACCAGCGGCCATGATCTTAGTTTTTTTGATGTTGAGCTTCAAACCATTTTTTGCACTCTCCTATTTCACCCTCATTATGAGGTTCCTTAATTCCTCCTCTATTTCTGCCATCAGAGTGGTATTATCTGCATATCTAAGGTTGTTGATATTTCTTCCGGCAATCTTAATTCTGGCTTGGGATTCCTCCAGTCCAGCCTTTCGCATGATGTATTCCGCATACAAGTTAAATAAGCAGGGGAACAAGATGCAGCCTTGTCGTACTCCTTTCCCAATTTTGAAACAATCAGTGTTTCCATATCCAGTTCTAACTGTTGCTTCCACGTATAGGTTTCTCAGGAGATGGATAAGGTGGTCAGGCACTCCCATTTCTTT